GCAGACAAATCTATAGTGACAGGTAATGGATTGGTGATTGCCTAGAGGTAGGAGTAAAGAGAGGAATAGACTATAAAAGGGCATGAGGAAACTTTTGGGGGTGACATTATTTTAATTATAGTGGTAGATTCACTGGTGTATACGTGGGTTCATGTATACATGTCCACTTTAAATACATGCATTAGATTGCAGATAAACTCTACCCAATAAAGTAGTAAAAATAATTTTTAGGAAAGGAGGGAATTAGTGAAGTGGAAGGGAGAAGTATCCACGAAGAAGCCATAGAGATTTTTAAAAAGAAAGAGATAGAAAAGAGAGGATAAAAAGCATATAGGGTACACTGAGAAGGTCTAGTGTGTGTAACTGGGGTTCCCAAAAGAGGCAAGAGAATCACTTCACAGCAGCAAGAGCAGCAGCCTAAAGGAAGTAAAATAATACTGACAAAGTACTAGAAAACACAATAACTGCCAAACTAAATTTCTCTACCCTGAGAAAATGTCCTCTAATATTAATGAAGGCAGCTAGAGACATTTTCAGATAAACAAGAACGGAGAGCTCTCCAACAGCAGACCACATCCAAAGAAATCCCACGGGGTGTTTAGGGTGACAGTCAATGACCCTATAAGAAGTGAGGGAGTGAGTGGCAAAGGAAGCAGAAGCAACAGGTGCCATCTCCACCTGGAGGTCTGACGAAGACCTCGCTCTGTTTCTCCAAAACAGAAGTCTTGGTTCTCCCCTCCCCAGCCTTCCTCAGCTCCACAAATGGCCGTACTACCCAACAGCTCAAGACCAAAGGCAGGAGTAAATTCTGATTCCTCTTTCCCCCACCCCCGGATCCCATCTATCAGTCGAACACGTGTTCTATGTCTAGCCATCCTCCTTGCTTAGTCCAATTCCAAGTCACCATCCTCACTTCCCTGGACACTGCCATAACCTCTTACGGGGGAGGGAGGAGGGGATGTTTCCGTTCATGCTCTATGTCTCTAACCCTGTCTCCCTGGAGTGATCCTTTGGGAGAAAAAAAAAAATTAAACCATTTTACTTCCCTGCTTAAAATCCTTCAACGTTTCCACGCTGTGGTCAGCATAAAATTTAAATTCCTGACCATTGCCTTTCCGGCCCCCACCTCCATGAACCCGTCCTGGCTGAGGCTCTCCAATTATTTCTTCCTGCTACATGCCCCACCCCCCACCTGTGTCAGCTTCCTGCTCACTGGCCCTCCCCCTGCTCCTGGAGCGCACCAAACTGGCTCCTGTCCCCAAGCCTTTGTACCAGAAGTTTCCTCCTCCAGGTCTTGCAAAACTGGAGCCTTCCAGTCATTCAAAATTATATCCAACCAATAAATGAGCTCGTCCATAACCAACCAACTTAACGTGGCCTCCCTCCACTTGAGATGTGCCACGGTCACAGCACTGGGGTTTACCTTCCTTACGGCACTTAGCATCTGAAACCATCGTGTTTATTAGCTAACTGGTTTGTGGACTGTATCCCCTGCCCGCCCCCACCCCCAGCCCCAACGGAGTATAAGTTTCACCAGAACAAAAACCATTTTCCTCTTGTGAATTGCTGGAACGCCAATGCCCATTCCTGGACGTTGTCTTCAAACTTAAAGAAAAGCCGAGAGACCCCTTGGAGGGGGGCGGTTACTTAATAATACTTGTTAATGAGAGGTGAGTATGACGCAACTGCCAAGGAACACCAGGCACCAGTCGAAGGCAGACAGCATCAACTTTGTATTTTCCAAGACTTTCCCCAGCTACTCCTGACAGCCCAGGAGGAGCGTAGCAAGGGAGATAAGCGAGACAAACCAAACCTGGGGTGCATGTGGTGGACAGGGCCAAAGGTCGAAGGATTATGATATCACCGAATGGCTGAAAAAGCCGATTGGAATGGGACCCCAGCTGGGACCTGGTGGATTAGGGTGGATTAGCACAGAAGGACCAAGGACCTAAGGTCAAAAACAACAGGGAAAACCAATACCACAGGCACCATGGATGGATGATGTTGCAGGTAGAATGCTGAGTTCCAAAGCAGAGGCTCTGAATTGGAGATTTTGGAGGTGCATGCTTTATGGGGACGGTGCGGTCTAAAGCTGGTGAGTCCAGAGGCCTCTAGTCTGTGCCTGCACTACTGGCCCCTCTACCCCACAAGGCTACCTCTGGAGTTAGCTCTTCAGCCTCTGGGGGCAGCTGTCTCTGCGGCACAAGCAGGTGTGGCCCCTCTGGTTGACTCGACCCTTCTACAATTACCATCTTGGCTAAAGAGGTCAGTGACCAGCCACTGAAATGCTAAGCGAGGAGCTAACATCAAGAAAACCTAATTCTTGAGTGCCTAGAATTCTCTTCACTTCAGCGAAGAATTTTTTTTCCTAACTCCTCTTAACAGGGTTATCAGAACCCGTGAGGGAAAGGGAGAACAGGCTGTGAATGGCAAGCAAGCACGAAATCCCGATCTGGACTCAGCGACAAAGAGAATCCTAAAAAGAGTATAGGCAATTTCTCCTCCTGAATGACAGAGAAGGGGTGTGGGCTCAGCCTAGTCGTGAGGGACCTGGGTCCGGCTGCTCACCTCATCTCTCAGGAGCATTCCTCACAAAAAGGGAAGGACTGAGGGGTCCCCAGTTGGGGTCGCCAGATGTAGCAAATAAAAATAGTTAAAGTTGAAGTTCAGATAGTGAACTTTTTTTAGTATATCTATATGCGCCATGCAACATTAGTATACGTATGGTAATGATGATTCGTTGTTTATTTGAAATTCAAATTACCTGGACATCCGCATCCCTCATCCTACATGTTAGAGAAAGGGCTCCAGCATTGGATCCAGCCATTAAACACAGGACACTTCCCGAGTGGCTGCGCTGGGAGACCAAGTATTCTGAGGCCATTCTGAACATGAACAATGGTGGATAAACGTCCTTACATTTATTATTTAAAGATGAGAGCATTAATGAGTTATATATACATATATAAGACATACACAAACTACAGTGACATAAATACATCACATAAATATATTAGACTGCGCTTTACAGCTGTTACAAATGGCTTTCCGCCTTTACCCAATACAAAGAAAACAGAAGTACAAGGCAGTGAGTTAAAATGGCTGCATTTTGTCAGATGCTCTGGTGTGAATAGTTTGCCGGATGCGTGCGTTAACTTATAAATTTGTACTGCTCCTGGTTCCCATCATATTTCCCATCATAGATTAAGGTTTTGGAAGGGGAGAAACAAAAAGAGCCAACCTCCAAAGTAAATACATTCTCAGGCTTGTGGTGTATCTAAGTTTATTTTCCATTTGTCACAATCACTCTCCAAGTAACCACAGTACAAAATATCGTGGGCCCAAGAGAGGACAAATGCAGAGCATCCCTGAGTCACTATTTATTTTCTTTGAGTGGTGATAAAAACCAGGTCATTCTCAATCATAGAAACACAGACCTGGGCGTTCCAAAACATATGTTGTGTTCTGTTTCTGTAATTCCTAGAGGCAGTGTTTTCCAAAGCAGAGGAAAGATGGCAAAGAACTTCTCTACCCAACTGAGCATTCCGGCCCAATTAATGTCTACAAACCTAAGGAAAAAAAGAGTGTCTCAATATTGTAGCTTTTTCCCCCAGCCTCTCAGTAAGAAATTCTTAAGGACCAACAAATGTCAGCATGCAGTTTAGCCCTTGATTACCGCTCTGCAAAGGAGAAAAAAAGGGAAAGACCATTAAAAAAATTGCTGGAATGGCTGATGGAACTTGTCTCGGAAGCTATTGTGGGGACGCCTCACACAACTGAAGCAATAGCTCTTAATTTACAACCTGGGCTGACAGTCTGTTCCAGACTGACTCAACACCTCGGAATAACGCGTCTCGGCGCACCTAAGCGTCTCCTGCCAGAGCCCAAGAGGGCGGGGCAACTCGAAGAAAAGATACACAGGCCCAGATGGTGCGCATCTGGCCCAAATTTAGTAGAAAAAGAAATCAACGTCTCAAATCCACAAACAGGTGTTTGGGGCGTCCCAGGAGGCCTGTTTAGGAAGGGCAACGGGGATGGTTCTAAACTGGTGGCTGGTTAAGGCACAATGAACGTTCCTGAGAAATAATGGAGAACAGGCACAGGTCTGCACGCACCCAACAGGTGGCTGGAGCGTGGGGGCCCTGTCGTCCACTCTCTCTTGAAAATTGCATTATTTCGAAAACATTTAAATTATTTAGATGATTGTAACCGAGACATCTTTAATAATGCACCAAACAGCAGGCACCGGGTTGAAATCAATTAGGCTCCACCGCTAAATTATAAGGTAGAAATTTACAAGAGAACGGATAGGGACTGTAGGTATATATGCCTGCCAGAGACGATTATATTAGGAACCAAATGGGTACCGCCTCGTCATTTAAGTAGCAGGAAGGAAAAAAAAAAAAAAAAAGGCTGGGTGCTCCTAAACATAGGGTAATACGAAAACTGAAAATGAGGCGGCCCACCCGCTGAGCAGGGTGCTGGGTGGTCAGGAGAAAATGCGGAGAACAATGGCGGCAGGAACAGATCCCACCCTGGAGGTTTCCTGTGCAAAGGCAAGTCAGCAAGTGGGGCCTCGGGGAGCCTCCCGCGGGGGTGGGCTCCGGAGTGCGGCCCGAGAGGGACCATGTGGACCCTGGGTACAGCCCGCACGGGGGGCCGGCACGAGAGACAGGGAGGTGTTGCGGGGGCCTGTTCCTGAGGTGCCCAGAGGGTGACGCCCCCCGGGTGGGACCGCAACGTCCCCCTTGCCAGTCCGGGCACAGCCCCAGCGCCTGGCTTTCGGTC